AGAATTCCCCAGCCAGCCCTGCTGGCTGGGGAATTCTGGGAGCTGAAGTCCACACATCTTAAAGTTGCTGAGACTGAGAAACACTGATCTAAAGCCTCAAGAAGAGCAATGGGGACTAATTCTGCCCCAGCCCGCATTTAAGAAACCACTCCTTCTACAACCACAACTTGATCAGATGTAGCTTAGGCTCTGAAAGCTGTTTTACGCAGGACAACTCTCTCCTTCTCAAAACAAGAGCAAGAGGTACTTTAACAGGAGTTGCAGATGCTTTGGTAAGAAAAATTAGGGATCCCAGGCCCACTCAGAATGGAACACCATCGCCTTACTTGGACCCAAGATCCAACTCTGAACAACACCAGTAAGAGGCCTGGGGACTGTGAACCAGTTTCTAACTGGTTCAGGGCTTAAGGAATCTGGTTCCCAGCGCAAGGATTTCCAGTCATATTTATTAGATTTATTCCCCAACTTCCTTTTGGGAGCTCAAAAGTGCACAAATAGTGTTCATTCCTCCCATCTTCCCCCACAACTCTGTGAGGTAGTTTGGGATAAGAGAGAGTGACTGGATCAAAGTCATTCAGGGAGTTTCTGTGGCTGGGGGGAGACTAGAACCTGGGCCTCCCTGTTCCTAATTCAACACCTACAAATATCACTTCTAGATCACTTCTTTCTTAAATTTTCCACACAACAGTCCTGCACGGTAGGTTAGGCTGAAAGAGTGGGATTGGCCCAAAGTAACTCACACAGAGAGCTTCCACGGCTGAGAAGAGAGAGAACCTGCGTCTACCCATTTCTAGTCCAACACTTTAGCTGCTACACCACACTGGGTTTCTGCACAGAGCCCAGGGTTTCTGGTGGAAAGCTACGGCCGTTAAACCAGTTTCAAACTGGGCTAAATACTGAGGGTCTTCCGTGAAGAAATGACCATCTATGACACCTTTTTAGAGGAGGCCTCCATGGCCATTCACAAATCTCAGATCTGAAGCCCAGAGCCTCGTTTGAGCAGAGTTCTACGACCATCAAGGTCTTGTCTCATTTCCTTCTGTGATGGGGTGGGAAATTGTCTGCCCTGCCCTGGATTGACTCAGGAGGGAAGAGGGGGCCCTCGAAGGAAAGGCCACAACGTCCCTGGGCACTGCCCGGAGGCCTCCCTTGCCAGCCCAGACCTAACTCAACCCCGCCCAGCTGGTGCGGCCTCTTGAGAATGGGCCGGGTAGACAAGACATAAAAGGAGCGAGCCGTGGCAGCCGAATGCCAGTTTGTACCGTGGAGCGATGGTTTGGCTGGACGCAGGAGCTGGAGGAGAGGGGTTGGTCGGGCGAGCCAGGGACGGCCTCCCTCTCTTTAGGTAGGTTAAAACGGAGGGTTATCTGCACCGGGATGGGTAGGGTTTTACCGCTGGATGGAGTTGTGGCTGGTTGTAGAGACAGATCCAAGGTCTTCCTCTGAGTAGGGAGGAAGACGGGCATTACCAACATGTGGGGAAAGGACGCAAGTCCTGCTCTGGGGGAGTGCATGGGGAGGCCACTGTCTCCACACGCTGCAGGCCAAGCTGCAGTCAGAGATCTCGGCAGGGGAAAAGCAGAAAAAAATCACCAATGCTTCCAAACTCCCCATCCTTACAGCACAGAAACTTCACTGTCCTGGGTTTGTTATGGCCTGGGCAACTGGGGTGGAACACTGACCCCCAAGATGACTAAAGGCGCTTGCTTCCCCAGGCTGGTGCTAGCAACCCTCCTCCCGAAGATGTCCTTCCCCCAAACATCTCCCCCGCCCCAAAGGCTGGCTCATCGTACCACGTCCCGTTCCGGAGAGCTGGGCCGAGATCCCGGCAGCCCATTCTTGGTTGGGGTCTTTGCCTCCTTCTTGGGGAACTGGATCTTCTTCAAGTCCAGCCGGTCGTGAGTCACCCATTCGTCTAGACGCTTGTTAACTGTATGGTTAAGGCAAGGCACAGGGATGTTTTTCCCCTTTTAGAAAAAGACATGCCATGATAAAGGGGGAAAAAATCCAAAGTTCTGCCTACAGAACAAAAAATAGCAAACCTCCAGCATGACACTCCTTAAGACCTTGGATTTTTCCTTGCCATTCCCCAAACCTTTCTGTGCTTCTCATAGCAGTTAACAGGTGCCTATTCTTAGTTCTATTTTCTTAACAGCATACATACAGCAAGAAGAGACCAAGATGCAAGAACCCAGGATACTCACCCCCAGCCCTCAAGATGTGTGGGACAGTCATTCATATTACTGCCAGTCAGATGGGAAGGGGCTCAGCTGGGAAAGGCTGATCTAGAATTGACACCTCTTAACTGGCCTTGATAGCGAGCCAACATTTTCAACCACTGGAGCATATTCCTGCCCAGCTCCCAATAGGGAGAGGGCAAGCTTTTGTCTCCAGCATCAGGGGCACCCCAAATGTTTTCAAACTGCAGCTGGAGATCAGGGACAATCTTGCCACACCACAACTTTAGGAAAACAGCTGATGATGCTGGAGGTCAGATGAATATTTGCTCTGACAAGTGAATTCATGGAACCTTGGCTATGGCAACAGATGTCACTGTGAACCTGAAGTATATATTGTAGACAAGATGCCTTTGAGACAAGGATGGACCAACACAGCATCACAAATTATCTTGTCTTCAGTTTCACAGTGCTCCAGATATGATCCTAATGGCCCTCTGCTCTCCCAAACAAGCTCCCACTTTTGTAATCTCATTTTGGAAAAGCCTGTAATTATATTTCCTTCCCAACCATCCAATGGATCCCCCTCTGGCTTGCTTACTCACAGTCAATGTAGTGAACATAGAAAAGTTTTCGGCCACTGATGTCTTTAACACTCAGGATTTCAGCCAGTGCTGTCAAAAAAAAAAAAAAAGAAAGAAAAAGAAAAGTGTATTATTTTAGGAGAAAACAACGACCACCAGCTCTGTTTTACAGGGCTCTTATTGCTTACAAAACTCTGAAGAGTCCCAGAAAGAACTTTGCAACCAGGATATGCAGAATTTAGGCTTAAGAGATCCAGTTGGGTTTGCTTTACTGGAACCCAACAATCCACTACAAAGAGACAAGCCTGAAACAGAGGCTAAGAGGAAAAATGACAGATTTAAAATGGTGACGCAGGATCAGAAATAATTTGCCTGCCATGTACGTATACACCCAACTTGAGTCTATTCCAAGCAAGTACAAATCTACACATGAATTGCTAAAGAATTAAGACATTTAACCCAAATTTTCAAGCAGACAGCTATGCTGGACAAGACCTGGTGAAAAGAGGACAATAATGCCCTACGCCAGACGAAACCAATGATGAATAAAGAATGATTAGTACCAGGAATTAGTACATCAAGAATACTTCTTTCGCTTGCCATTTTAAAACCTGGGGGCAAAGAAGCCTCGTTGGATGTGGCCAATGAGTCAGAAAGGGTTGGGAGATCTTCGGCTAATACGTCCTGACTTGGCTTCTCCCTTTCTACTGAAAACCACCCCTAAACTCTGGCCCCTAAGCCGCCCGTCTAATGGCTGGGCGAGAGATCTGAACCCCCCTGTTCCAGTTTTATCGGATACTCTTCAGTCAAGCTTCCCCAGCCTGACACCCTTCAGAACTATGGGCCACGCACCCTGGCAATGCTGACTGGGGATGATGGACTTTAATGTGCAATCCCCACTGGAGCTGGGCAGCCAATACATTTAAATAAATAATAATCGAGAAAGCAGCATGCTCTGAGCACTAGACTACGCTACCTTTTTTCTTAGCCCAGTCCTAAGCCTGGTGCCTCTCCAGTGCGGGTCTCCTCCTTGTGGGGCCCACTTTTTTGACTGCACCCCTTCCCACCTTTAAACCCTCCCTCCAACCAAGTCCCAAGCAGCCCCAACTTACCACCTCACGTGGCCCCGCCCTCCCGTTAAAGCCCCTCCCACCGCCCTGTGTCCCCACCCACCAATCCTTAAGCCACGCCTCTCCCGCCTTAAACCCGCCCCCTTACTCACGCCACTCGTCCTCGTTTTCTTGGTTACGGCGCAACACAGGGAGGCGACACCCTTCGGTCACTTCCTCCTGCAAAAAGGAGAAATTAGGCGGGAACCAAGGCCACAGGATCCGCCCGACTCTCTACCCTTCCCGCCGCTCCGCACTCACCACCTCCGCCATCTTGGGCTCTCGCCGTTTGCCGGGGCCTTCTCTTCCGGCATCTGCCGAAACTACTTCCGGGGAGCGAAGCCACTATTTCCTGTATCCTTTGAGTCCTATTTCCGGTTTCTGGAGGCCCAACATAAAGCTGTCGGGCGAGGCGGAGCTAGCGGCGTGCCATAGAGAGGAGCAAGCCTAGCTAGCCAGGAAAGGCCTGCTACCCATCCCTAGGAAGTGAAGCGGAAATCGGGGCACGTCACCTGACAGCGAGACCCGGATGTTGGTGTTTCTAACGTGTTTGCGCTGTTGCAACAATTGACCCGCTGGTATATCATTAATAATGTATTGATGAATTCCAGTGTAGGTGCAAACCGCGAGGCCGGGCAGGCAGTTAACCCGAAAGGTTGCCAGGCTGAACCCTAGAGAAAGACGCAGCGAGCTTGCAGGTCTCACAGAACCCTTCGTCTGCTGCCGAACGAAAAAGGCATCGCCATGGGAAGAAAGGCTGCCTCGCGGGACTTCATACGCCCAAGGAAGGAGACTCTGATGGGCGGCTGGACCCCACCGGCCGCACTAGGAAGCCGCCTTCACGCAGCACGGTCGTTAAACTTGCGCCTCGGGAGCGCAGCGGCCAGGGCTGGTGCCCGCCGCTCGCCAATA